TTAAGTGGTTTTTTTAATTGGCCTAAATAAATATAAATAATTAGTCAACTGTTAATTAAAAACCTGTGAATATAAATATGTTCTGTTAAAGCCTTTTTATATTTTGCAAGCTTTAAATCATGATATTTACAGAAAGACAATGTGGAGGAATTATAGCTGTCTAAAAGTTAGGCAAGTCATATAGGCAATTGCTAGTCTTGTTGGTTGTGATCCCAAGACTATCAGGAATATATTAAAGTAACTTGATAGCCTATCTCAAATATTACTGAATCATCAAGAAAGACTACCAATCCTAGATAAATTAGCATGTGATCACCTAATACAACTTGTTCTAAATAATTGCCATATATCTAAAAAAGATATTCAAGCTGTATTGAAATAGCAAGAAGAAAAAGTCATAAAAATTTTTTTTTAATTTTATTTATTTTTTAATTTGAGTGCTGCCAAAAGACAACTCACAAATCTTATCTAATAAGATTTACAAGTTTTTCCTAGCACACCCATTTATTTTTTTTAATTTAAATTTTTTTTTTTGTTTTATAGATAATTTCTCAAAGAACTATAAGTCGTATTCTTAAAAAAGCTGGCCTGTTTACACGTATTGCTTGTGCAAAGCCCTTTATTAGTAAAAAAACTAAAGATGAGTATCATGAATTGGCGGAAGCACATCTTGATTGGACGACTGAAGATTGGAAAACGTTCTTTGGTCAGATAAAAAATATTTTACTTTAATCACCTCTAATCTACATCAGTATATATAGAGAAGGCCAAATGAAAAGTTTATTAATAATTGTCTTGTTCTGGCAATCAAATCTAAAAGAATAATGGTGTGGAAATATTTTTCTTGGTGGGGTTTTAGTCCTCTTGTCCATTTCTATGGAAGTGTTACAAGTACGTCCTATCGTTGAATACTTAGTCATTATGCAATTCCCAAGCTTCAAGATCAATATCCCAATAGTAACAAAATATTTCAACATGATGGTGCCTCGGTCTACAGGAGTAAGATTGTTAAAAAATATTTAGCTAATAAGTATATTAATATGTTCAAATGGCCTCTGTATAACCTGGACTTTAATCCTATTGAGAATCTCTGGTCCGAGGTTAAAGAAAAGCTCTAAAAATATCATCCAAGGACTGGTAACCTTAATAAGCTTGAACGGATAGTTAAAGAAGAATAAAAAGTATTATCTCAGAGTTACTTTAGGCATCTTGTTAAAAGCAAGTAAATAGTATCAAAGAGGTATATGACAATGATAGTGGTCATTCATATTACTAAATATAATTGCCTGTAATAGTAATTATAAATAAAAAATAAAATTTGCTAAGTTAGTATAAAGAATATTTGCTTAATTAATATAAAAAATATTTGTTAATGTTTAAAATAACTTGTTCAAATCCACAAACATTTCAATTTACTTTGTTGTTAATCTTCAAACTAAGTTTATAACTTTGTTTTATTCATGCAATTTAAATTAGTAAATCTAAATTAAGAGTTAATTACATATTTAAAAAAAGAAAAAGAAAAAAAACTATAATAATATTAATACTTACCATTCTGCATTAGTTGGTTTGCTTTGTTGTCTCATGTTCATATGAATTAATCTGATCATTGATCGATTAGGTGAAAACAACTGGTATATACATATTTATGAATTTAAAAGTTTCTGGTTATAATTTATAACAATAGCTTTTTCTCCTGTTAATAGTTCCATTATTATAATTTTGAAACTATAAATATTTGAAGCTTTTTGTAAATTTTTAATTTGATAAAAAACTTTACTTATTTATTGTTCCATGTTAGAAATCCCAAATTCAAAATATTTTTACTATGAAGATCTTAATACCCTATCCTTGTGAATGAATTGCTTCAAGATCTAATATTATA